GTTTGTCATGCCACCGAAATGCCATGATGTCATTGGCAGCAAACGCCTGCACCTCACCTCTGCGAGTGCCAGCGTCAAACCTGGGCATATGTTTTCGATTTGCATGCACTGTGCCACACACATCTGTCATGTTTCACTCGCAAAAAATCACTGAGTGAGGGGCTTGTGTACCAGTTATCTGTATATAATATATGCCCCTTACCAAGGTATGGTTCTATCATTGTTCGAACCACATCACCTGAGATGCCCAATAACTTCCTGGTATTTTGCAATGTATAACTTCCAGTGTACACAATAATATCCAATACCAGACCACTGTAACAATCACAAAGCACAAACAACTTTATACCAAAGCGTTTCCTCTTGCTTGGTATGTACTGCTTGAAAGAGAGTCTTCCTTTGAACAGAATCAAAGACTCGTCAATTACAAGCTTCCTGAAGGGATAAAAATGAGTACTGAATTTCTGTTTCAGATACACAAACACATTCCTAATCTTATATAACCTGTCAGTTCTGTCAGGCCTGGTTTTATCTGAGAAGTGAAGCATACGTAACATTAGCACAAATCGATTCACTGGCATTATATCACTGAAACCTGGTGTTGACCAGTATGATTTCACTTTGTGCTTATACACATGTGGCATAAGCATTATTGTGGCAAAGAAAAGATACATCTCAGCCACAGTTGCCTCCTTCCATTGGTGTAGACGTGATTTGGTGAAAGTATTGTGTTTGCCATGGTGTACTCGTAGTATGTGTTGCTTTCCATGACAATACTTTTCATCAGTGGTTCGTCAAAGAATAACTCGAAACTTCCAGTTCAGTGGCATTGTTCCCAAGTGCACAAGATGGCCGTATTCCACTTTGGCTGCCATCAAACTGGTGGGATTTGGAACAAAATTGACAGCTTCCTGCCAATCCCAGGTGCGGTCTGCTGGTGGGTACTGGACAATGACAGGTGGTTGTGGTTGTGGAGGTTGTGGTTGTGAGGCTGGTGTGGGTGGGGGAGTGGGGGATGGTGGCCTTTGTTCTAGATCAGCTGAGGCAGCGGCGTGGCTGGCAGCGTGGTGGCAGCATGCCCACTGCTGGTGCCTCACCGCCGGCACCACTACCACCACGCACATTTTCCATCCCAATTGCAACAGTATCTTCGTCATTTTCACTGTCTGTTCCTGTGTACAGCCACGGGATGTACTCCGAGATACACTCCTTCCCCTGGTATAACATATGGCACACTTCCAGCGCATATATCGTCGTATATACTGACGCTTCACTGGGAATATTGCACTTCACTATCACTACTGGAACTAGTTTGAAGAGCTTGTAGTTCATATTCACTATCACTATCATCACCCATGCTCTCATCTGAGTCCTGGGATTTGGAAAATAGAAGTTCCCTCTTGGTTCTGGAACAACTGAACGTGAACACGAGGCCCAGCACCAGAGGTGGAAGGCTGAGGGTCGTCTGGGTTTTCTTCACTATTACCGATATTATGGTCATTAGTTTCGGTCAAAACCTCACTAAAACCACGAAACTCATCTTCACTGGCACTTCCATCACTATTAGAACTGTCACTGGGGAACAAAAGTGTCCCAATTCGCCGAGGAGTGAGGAGCTTCTTACCGCGAGGCATGGTGGACATTGTTTACTAAGAGGGCATTCCCACAATGCACCACTGGGTCCCAGATTTTTTTCTACCGCGCACACTGACCACGCAGACCCATTCTCTCACACCTAGGCCTATCAGCCTTTTCGCGCGAGATTTGAGGCCGCTAGAATTTATGCGTACTAGTACGTCAAAAACCCCTACACGTAAGACGTACTAGTACGACGAACACCCTCAAAGGGTTAACAAGTCGGCCCTCTCCCACCGAGGCAGGGTGACCCAAAAATAAGAAAGAAAATCCCCAAAAAGAAAATACTTTCATCATCATTCAACACTTTCACCTCACTCACACATAATCACTGTTTTTGCAGAGGTGCTCAGAACAGAACAATTTAGAAGCATATATGTATAAAGATACACAACATATCCCTCCAAACTGCTAATATCCCGAACCCCTCCTTTAGAGTGCAGGCATTGTACTTCCCATTTCCAGGACTCAAGTCCGGCTATATAAAAATAGCCGGTTTCCCTGAATCCCTTCACTAAATATTACCCTGCTCACACTCCAACAGCTCGTCAGGTCCCAAATACCATTCGTCTCCATTCACTTCTATCTAACATGCTCGTGCAAGCTTGCTGGAAGTCCAAGCCCCTCGCCCACAACACCTCCTTTACCTCCTCCCTCCAACCTTTTCAAGGACGACCCCTACCCCGCCTTCCTTCCCCTACAGATTTAAATGCTCTCCATGTCATTCTACTTTGATCCATTCTCTCTAAATGACCAAACCACCTCAACAACCCCTTTTCAGCCCTCTGACTAGTACTTTTATTAACTCCACACCTTCTAATTTCCACACTATGAATTTTCTGCATAATATTTACACCATACATTGCCCTTAGACAGGACATCTCCACTGCCTCCAACCGTCTCCTCGCTGCTGCATTTACCACCCAAGCTTAACACCCATATAAGAGTGTTGGTACTACTAGACTTTCATACATTCCCTTCTTTGCCTCCATAGATAACTTTTTTGTCTCCACATATACCTCAAGGCACCACTTGCCATGTATGCACGAGTACAATTATCATTTATAGTAACATATTGTAAATTACCTAAGATAACCCAAATAAAAAAAAAAGTCAAAGTGAACAGAGACAGTGGGTTTAAGAATAGAAAATATGTATAAGAGAACATCTAGGATAATTTTCCAAGAAGATGCATTTGTGTAAGATTGGTTTATATTGAATGTGTCATACATGGAAAAGTGTATAGGTATTTCATGTACATTAAAACTAGAACTTAAGGTCTTTTAACAATGAATAGATAAAGTTAGATTATTTATCTCCTATACAGTGGAACCTCAAAAATCGAACTGCTCCCAACACGACCAATTATGTAAGTGTATTTTTGTAAGTGCTTTTATAAGTGTATTTTTGAGGGTCTGAAATGGACTAATCTAATTTACATTATTCCTGACGGGAATAAATTCATTCGGTTAAGGCACTCGAACAGCCTTCTGGACCGAAGAAAGTTCGATATTTGAGGTTCCACTGTATTTGATAATCTTATTTAAAGATAAGATTATCAGGTGCAGGATATTTTATTTGTTTAAAATACCTTTTTACCTCTTAGTAATCTCTCACTGCTTTAATCATAACTGTTGTACTGTACTCTAAATTCAGAAACTGTATATGCTGAATTGTCTCTTAAAATTTTTGTTCTGTTTTTTAGTAGTGTCCCTAGTGGTACTAATTAAGTATATAGTAAGTGCATACCAATTTTAGTCTTATCAAAATGTTTTGTATAATAAGGAACTTTAATAAAATAGTAGTGAAGGAATGATAATAATTTTTTCTGATACCGATACTAAATCGTAGGCCAGTACCAGTACTGATGCCACCAAAATTAGCCATCTATAATAGTACAAGTAATGGTACCATCAAAATTGGCTGATGCCATCCAATACTCAGTTTGATGCAATTATTGATACTATCAAAATTAGTCACTACTCACCGATATAGATACTGTAGTATACCCTAAGAAAAAATTGTTCTATATAGTTATGTAATTCTCAGCACAGTAACAACAGTTTGTGTGTATACGTATTTGGAAATAAAATTCGTATTTGTGTATGTCTTGCCTTGCCCGGAATTGAACCTAGGTACGTACAGTCAAAAGTGATAACACACGAGTTATGAATGATCCACCGTTATGCAAAGTAAAAATTAAGTAAAGCAGAGATATTACAGATAGCCAGAAAACTCTTACAGAAATTGTTGAATAAAGTACAGTAATGATGCAGTACATTAGATGAAATATTATGGTGGTGTTTAGTCTCTTTGTTGTGATCTGCTTAGTTTAATTGGACAATGCCTGTTATATAGGTTTTGGGTTTTTTTGAAAAAAAAAAAATGCTGACAACCCATCCTGTTTAGAGCTTCATTTTTATAATAATAATAATAATAATAATAATAATAATAATAATAATTTTACCCATCCACTAATAATATTCTCACATCTGTACCACACCTCACTGTTTTTCTATTAGAGGTAATGCAGTACATCACTCCTTTAACTGCAGTCTTTTGATACCAGAGTTTAGATGACCCTCCGAACTGCAATACCCCCTTCCCTCTTTCAGTGTGTGGGCACTGGACTTCCCTCCTCCAAGTCTCAAGTCTGGCTTCCCAGACTGTATACTATTATGACTTCAAATGAAGGCAGGTTTTGACAAACTTTGTTGAAGAGGGGGCCCATTTTGGGGTGAAATACTGTATACGGTTCCAGTGGCACAGCCTCAGGGGAAGGACGGGTGTCTAAGGGGGTTAAAACTTCCCAAGATGCAGATGTACTGTTTTTTCAAATAATGGCTAATTTTCACTATTATATTGAACAATAAACACAAAAGCACAGTAATTTAAATTTTTTTACATATATACATGTACAGTGGAACCTCAAATATTGAACTTTCTTCGGTCCAGAAGTCTGTTCAACTGCCTTTACCGAATGAATTTATTCCCATCAGGAATAATGTAAATTAGATTAGTCCATTTCAGACCCTTAAAAATACACTTATAAAAGCACTTACAAAAATACACTTACATAATTGGTTGTGTTGGGAGCAGTTCAATTTTTGAGGTTCCACTGTACTGATAATTATATGTTTTAAAAGAGAATTTCTTTGATTTTTTCAGCATATTATTTTTAAGTCTCCTCCCTTATAATGAAATCTTGGCTAAAGACCTTTCCAGAATAAAATTCTGACTTCACCACTGTACAGTTCTCATATTATTTTTGGTTTTATTGTCTCCATTTAGGTTTATTTTTTCCATTATCATTTGTATTTATAATTAATATAGACTTCATACTTACACAGACTTAATTTATACAGGGGGCAGTTAACAAAGACTTGCTTGACGTAAGTACATCTTCAATAGCACCTACAACGACTACCACCACAGAGGCCCCACAGCTCACTCTTCATATCGGGAATAACACCATCAGTAATGTGTGCAACATCTCCTCCGATGATTACACCAAGCTAACTTCTTTCTATCCTCAACACTGCATTAAAGATGAAGGCGAATCAGAGGGACAAGATGCAGGAGGGTACAGTACTGAGCATGTTCCAAATTATGAAATTTAATAATTAGAATTATCAGTTTTGCCACAAATATACTGTTAAGTGACAGTTATTGTACGGTTCACTTCTTTGTATGGTTTAGTCATATAATATACCTCTTTCAGTCTCAATAATGTTATCAAACCATATCTAATTGTATAGTATGTGGCAGCAAAAGAATGGATCATTATTTTGTTTTTATTAGGCTCTTAAAGCAGACACTGATCTGAATCAAGCTATTAAGATTGTTTAGGAATTTGAGATGTGGTAGATAAGCATTTAAGACACAGATGGTTGCTAAAAAGATACTCTCATGGTCAACCAAAGAAATTTGGTTTATTGTTTCTTATACATGCTTAATCTGTTTTCTTTGTGACTTATATACTTAATTTCCATCATTAACCCTTTGAGGGTTTTCGTCGTACTAGTACGTCTTACGCGTAGGGGTTTTTGATGTACTAGTACGCATAAATTCTAGCGGCCTCAAATCTAGTGGGAGAAAGCTGGTAAGCCTTCATATGAAAGAATGGGTCTATGTGGTCAGTGTGCACAGTCTAAAAAAAATCCTGCAGCACACAGTGCACAATGAGAAAAAAAAAACTTTGACCATTTTTTTGGAATAAATCAGCGACTTTGCAGTGTATTTTCGTATGGTATTTATTGTTGTATTCTAGTTTTCTTGGTCTCATTTTATAGAATGGAAGACATATTACAGAAATTGAGATGATTTTGGCTGGTTTTACAATGAAAGGTGCCTTGAAATTGAGCTCAAAGTAGCAGAAATGTTCGATTTTTACCAAACTTCAAAAGTAAACAAATCGTGCCAAGTGTGCAATACACTTCAACTGGTGAGTCTAATATTCTTTCACAAGTGCACCAATAATATTTATACCATTTTTTACACTAATGCAGTAGTCTGCATAACAGTAAATCTTATATTTTTTGTGAGAATAAAAATTCAAAATGGAAAGCAAAAGAATATAAGAGGGACCTTGAGACGTGACTAATGACTAGAGGAAATGTCATTTTAGTGCCAGGAATGTCTTTCTTGTTTATTCTGGACCCTATTCGGAAATTGGCATCTTTTGAAATTTGTGTGAAATTGGCAAAATTGCTAAATTCTGACCACTGTACTGGATAGTTGAATTTCATAAATGGGTGGTTTCTTGCACCCATTCGATAGAAAAAATGGAGTTCTAGCGAAATATTCATGTTTTTTGTCGACTAGTACAGCGAAATTGGCCGAAAATGGGGCTCAAAGTGGGCAAAATCGCCGATGCGTAAACATCGCCGAGACCGCTAACTTTGCGAGAGCATAATTCCATAAGTTTTCTATCAAATTTCAAACTTTTGGTGTCTTTATGATCGGGAAAAGATTCTCTATCTTTTCATAAGAGAAAATAATTTTTTTTTTTTTTAAATTTGGCCGACCGTGAGAACGAGTTTCGGAGAGGGCCTGTCGACCCTCAAAGGGTTAAATACAGTACAATACAATATTTCCATATTCTTTGTGGTCCTGTATAACAGTAATTTCTATCATGGTCAGCTGTAACTTTTTGACTAATATTGTATGTGTAATATGTACTATATATTAAAATGTATAGTATATACAACATTTTGTTTAAACTTAAATTTGAAGATGTTTAAATTTGAAGTGTTTTTCCATTTCTTAGAAACTTTATTCACTGTGCCTGTAGTGTTAGAAAAGATTGATATTTTAGAATATAGAAACATTGTTTCCTGTCATTCTGTCAGCATGATATAGCTGTGATATTTTATTTCAGAGCTGTTGTTGATATTGAATCTGGGAATGAAACTCAGTCATGCCACACAAGTGTTGACCTACCAGAAATGGGAGCAGCAGAACAAGAACACCTGTCATCCCTCTCTATATTTCTCATACTTTGTGTGCTTGGTAAGAAAGGTCATTTATCCTACACTGAATGAGTTGTTAACAGATGTGTCTGTTTTGTGATGAGCAAACTGAGGCTCGTGCTTCCATCACTACTTATTCCTATAAGTGGGTGCAAGGGTCAAGACTCGGCTCCTGGCTGTGCCTCTCAAATCACCGCTTCCCAGTTTCACTCTCTCTCAGCCTCATGGGCCCTGTCTTACCTGCTCTTAAAACTACGTATAGAGTCTGCCTCTGCCACTTCTTCGTCAAGATCATTTCATTTCCCAACCACCCTGAGACTGAAGAAATACTTCTTGACATCCTTGTGACTTGCCATCCCTGTCTTTAAAGCATCCAGCTGTTGCCCCAAGTACCTGTTTAATGCCTCTCAAACAGCCTGTTGCAGTCTGCCCTATCAGTTCCTCTGAGTTGTTTTTATGTTGTCATTTCTCCTCTGGTCTTTCTGTTCTTCAGTGTCATTAGATTCAGCTCCTTTAGCCTCCCTTCATAGCTCATACCCCATAGTTCTGGAACTAGGCTTGTTGCATACTTCTCTGCTTAAATTTCTTAACACTTTTCCATGCTGGTGCTGCACATTCCTGAATGGGACTGACATACATTGCATAAACTACCTGGAGTGACTCTGTTGAGATTCCTGAAGGCCACTCATATTTTCTAGGCGAGCATCAGCAGCTTAGGTTATTTAGTTGATGTGAGCCTCTGGTGATATGCTAGGCACTATGCAGCCTCTATCCTCCCTAGTTTATACTTCATATCCAGTCTTCTAGCTCCTTCCCCAGTCTTCATAATATTTCATTTGCTGGAGTTGAATTCAAACAACCACATATCTGACAAACCCTGTAGTTTGTCCAGATATATGTGCAGTCTTTCTTCATCCTCATTCATTTGTATTATCTTCAGTGAACATAGATTTATCTGACTTGGTCCCATCCGGTATGTCATTCACATAAATCAGAAACAGTACTGGACTTAATACAGTCCTTGTGGCACCTTATTTGCCACTCTTCCCCATTCTGAACATAAGAACATGTAAGAACATAAGAAAGAAGGAACACTGCAACAGGCCTACTGACCCATGCAGAGCAGGTCCATGACATCCCCCCAGATTAGACCAATGACCCACCCAGTCTGGTTATCCCCCACTCAAGGATGGAGCACTGTACCAGACCCAGCAGCACAAGCTAGTCAGGTCCAACTCACACCCACCCACACCCACTCATGTATTTATCTAACCTATTTTTAAAACTACACAACATTTTAGCCTCAATAACTGTACTTGGGAGCTTGTTCCACTCATCCACAACTCTATTACCAAACCAGTGCTTTCCTATATCCTTCCTAAATCTGAATTTTTCCAACTTGAAACCATTGCTGCGAGTCCTGTGTTGGCTGGAAATTTTCAGCGCACTATTTACATCCCCTTTATTTATTCCTGTTTTCCATTTATACACCTCGATCATATCCCCCCTAATTCTACGCCTTTCGAGAGAGTGCAGATTCAGGGCCTTCAGTCTATCCTCATAGGGAAGATTTCTGATACATGGGATCATCTTTGTCATCCTCTTTTGTACGTTTTCCAGAGCATTTATATCCATTCTGTAATACGGTGACCAGAACTGAGCAGCATAGTCTAAATGAGGCCTAACCAAGGATATATAGAGTTGAAGAACCACCTGGGGACTTCTATTATTTATACTTCTAGATATGAAACCAAGAATTCTGTTAGCTTTATTGCGAACACTAATGCACTGTTGTCTTGGTTTTAGGTTACTACTAACCAGAACTTCTAAATCCTTTTCGCAATCGGTAGTATTAAGATCTACATTATTTAGTTTATATGTGGCATGGTTATTTAACTGTCCAACATTTAGAACTTTGCATTTGTCAATATTAAACTGCATCTACCACTTATCCGACTATTGCATCAGTCTATTCAAATCATCCTGGAGTGCTCTAATGTCCTCATTAGAATGAATTGGACGGCCTATTTTGGTGTCATCAGCAAATTTGCTTATGTCGCTATTTATTCCCTCATCTATGTCGTTTATGTAAAATGTGAACAACAACGGGCCCAACACTGACCTCTGAGGAACACCGCTTGTGATGTGCCCCCATTCTGATTTCTTCCTATTTATGCAAACTCTCTGCTGTCTATTTGTCAGCCATGCCTCTACCCAGGAAAAAATTTCTCCTCCTATTCCGTGTGCCCTAAGTTTCCTCAATAGCCTCTGGTATGGAACTCTATCGAAAGCCTTACTGAAGTCCATATACACAATATCATATTCATTACCATGATCTACCTCCTCAAACACCTTGGTGAAAAAAGTTAGTAAATTCGTAAGACAGGAATGCCCCTTTGTAAAACTGTGTTGAAAATCATTAATCAATCTGTGCCTGTCAAGATGGCTATGAATTGCTTCGGCAATTATTGATTCCATAAATTTTCCCACTATGGAGGTAAGGCTTATTGGTCTATAGTTCGAAGCCAAGGACCTGTCACCTGCCTTGTAAATAGGTATTACTTTGCTATTTTCCACTTTTCAGGCACTATGCCAGTTTGTAGTGATATGTTAAAAAGATTAGCCAAAGGTATGCTAAGTTCCTCTTTACATTCCTTTAACACCCTTGCAAACAGTTCATCAGGACCTGGGAATTTGTTAGGTTTTAGTTTCTCTATTTGTCTGAGGACCATGTCACTAGTTACCGCAATCATACATAGCTTATTATCATCCTGTTCTACGTAATCTATTATTTCAGGAATATCGCTAGTATAGTCACCCTGCCTCGGTGGGAGACGGCCAACTTGTTGAAAAAAAAAAAAAAAATCGCTAGTATTTTCCTGGGTGAAAACTGAGAGGAAGTAGGTATTTAGAATTTCCTTATCACTGTCAGTGATCTGACCAGAGTTACTCTTAAGTGGGCCAATCTTGTCCCTAATCTTACTTCTGTATACCTGAAAGAACCCTTTTGGGTTAGTCTTTGAATCCCTTGCGACCTTAGCCTCATAATCTCTTTTTGCTTTTCTTATTCCTTTTTTTATTTCTCTCTTTAATTGAATATATTGATTTCTTAACTGCCCATCCCCTCTTTTGATACGCCTATATATGCCTCTCTTTTGACCAATGAGATGTTTTAATCTATTGTTCATCCATTTGGGATCATTTTTGTTGGATCTAATTTCCCTACTCAGTACAAAAGTTGTCTGGGCAGCTAGAACTATGCTCTGAAAAATGTCATATTGGCAACCAAGATCACCTACCTGACCCATAGTCAGGACATCCCAATTTAGCCCACCCAAGTAATTTTTCAGTCCCATGAAGTCGGCCAAGCGAAAATCTGGGACAGAGATTTGATTGCAGTTATATGGGTAATTCCATGATATATTGAAACTAAGTGATTTGTGATCACTTTCCCCAAGCTCATCATTAACCTCAAGATTATTAATTAGTGAATCTTTGTTTGCAAGAACCAAGTCAAGCAGATTGTTTCCTCTAGTTGGTTCTGTCACAACCTGTTCTAAAAAGCAATCCTGAACCGTATCAAGAAAGTCACTAGACTCAAGATTTCCTGTCATATTGTTCCAATCAATTTGTCTAAAGTTAAAATCTCCCATTATCACAACATTTTCATATCTAGATGCCTTATGAATTTCATCCCATAACAGCTTATTGCACTCCCTACCAAGGTTTGGGGGCCTATAAATCACACCCAAAATTAATTTGTCACGACCTTCGAGAAACTGAAGCCAAGCCGATTCTGTGTTCAATGTTTCTAATCTTATATCATGTCTAAGACAACAATTTAGATTTTCTCTGACATACATCACCACACCACCACCCTTCCTGTGGACCCTATCAGTGTGGAATAGTTTATAACCCTGTATGTTGCATTCAGAAGGCATTTCTCTATCTTTCAGGTTGAACCAGGCCTCTGTTTATACCAATAATATCTATATTACCTATACTTGCAAGTAATTTCAGCTCATCTATCTTATTTCTTAGACTCCTACTATTTGTATAGTAAACCTTAAGGGAGCTAGTCACTCGTTGCCCTCTACTATCTCTCTTTGTTTGTTGATCAATTGATTTGCCATTACTAGCAACTTTATTTTGAATATTGTCTTTTAAACATATCCCTGAGGTATCCCTGTAATAACTGCTGTTTTTAACCCTAATGCTGCAGCCTGATTGTTTCCCACAAACACCCATACTTCTATAATCTATCAGTTTAAATTCCTAGACAAGTCATCAATTACCTTCTCAATTGAATTGGCTAATGCAACCACTCCATCCCCAGAGAGATGAACCCCATCCCTTGCATTCATATCACATTTGCCAAAGAAAAGGCCCCAGTTATCTATGAATGGGATTGCAAGTTCCTTGCAGTACCTGTCTAGCCAGCGATTTATACCAATTGCCCTAGATATCCATTCATTGCCCACTCCCTTTCTAGGCAAGATGCTACATATGACTGGGATCCCTCCCTTAGACCTAACTACTTCTATGGATGACCTGTACTTATCCATCAGCTCCTCTCTCTTGCCCTTCCCAGTGTCATTACCCCCAACACTAAGACAGATAATAGGCTTGTTCCCATTACCTGCCATTATATTATCCAACCTGCTGACTATGTCACCAACACCAGCTCCAGGAAGACACACTCTTTGTCTGACTTTTCTGTCTCTGTTACAAAATGCACGGTCCATATGTCTTACCTGAGAATCGCCTACTATTAAAATATTCTTGCCTTGATTAGCAGGGGAATCAGTGGTACCTTCAACCTCACTAACCACTGAAGTACACTCGTCTTGGAGAACAGAGAATCGATTTCCTACCTTCACATCTTCTCTGTTAACTCTCCTCATCTTCCTTCTTCCTGAACTGTGAACCACTTGCCACTTAAAGCGGCTGCCACTCTCACTGCTAGTGACCATTCCTACCTTACCAGCTAAATCCTTCTCACACTCGCTCCCAAACTCATCTATGCGAAGCTTCAGCTTCCTATTTTCCTCCTGAAGAAGTAGAATCTCCTTCTTCAACACATGAACCTGGGATTTTAAAGCACTACAACAAGCCATGGTATGGGTAACAACCCATGCTAACTCCCAAGAGCTTAGCGGTATGACCGCACTTGACCACTGACCTCAGCAATCACACTCTGCTTCCTTTCCTAGAGTAATCTTTGATCCACCTGCTTCTCAATGTTTTGTTCATGTCTCATGTGGGGTACAGTATCAAATGCCTTTTTGTAGTCTAAGAAAATGCAATCCACCCAACTCTCTCCAGTCTCACTTCTGTTACTTTTATATAGAGTATTTTTGAACCTGTTGTGGTTTTTGTTATGAAACCACTTCTTTGCATGTTATACATGTCAGCAAAACTGGCCTCTGGTTTAATGCCTCCTGGTTATTTCCAGTGTGAAATGTAGATTCTACATTCGCTGTCTTCCAGATCTCTGGCAACTGTCCCATGTTGGATATCATAGCTAGTGGTTCCAGCACTGCTTCTGCTCCCTCTCACAGAATCCCTGGAGACATTCTGTCAGGTCCCACTGCTTTTGATGTATTCAGCTCCATTAAACTTTTTTTTTTTTTTTTTTTTTTTAACCTCTATTTCTGTTGTGTGCATTGTGTCCATTACCTTCTAGTGTATTCTTTCTCCTACACTGTCTGGAATTGCCTCTGTTTCCACTGAGAAGACTTCTTTAAATTGTTTGTTCAGCACCTTGTACACTTCCTTGTCATTTTCTATGAGCTCTTCTTCAGTTTAATTATTTTGTCTCTTATCATCATTTTTCGTGTGATGTGACTGTGAAGCAGTTTTGGTTCAGATTTGGCCTTGGCTGCAGTGTCATTTTCAAATTGTCACTCATCCTTGCTTCATATAATTAGAGAGGAATGACAGGTTTTTGACAGTTAAATTTTTAAAACCCCCAATCCAAGAAGTTGGGATAGAAAAGGGCATTTTCTAAAGTTTTTAGATAGGCGTTTGAAACGTACCTGGAATATACTTGGAGAGGATTTTGGGGGTCAACACCCCCATGGCCCGGTCTGTGACCAGGCCTCATGGTGGATCAGGGCCTGATTAGCCAGTCTGTTGCTGTTGGCCTTATGATATAATATATAAATGTATAATGATCAGATCGTATATTATTTGTTGTACAACATATAAAATGGGAATTTCTGTATATGAGCTATAACTTTTAAATGTAACTCTTATAGGTTCACAATAAAAAAAATATTTGTTTTTTCTGTATGTACACAGTACCTGTAATGTGATAGTCTCTTTCTCTACATTGTTTCCATTGCTCATACTGGTGTATGAGTACATATATCTATTGAGATTTTTTTGATATATGGTGTGGCCATAGCCTATTGTATTTTAATGCAGTAGGTTTACAGCAATTAATAACAGATTTTTTTTTCAGCTGTATGTGTGATATTGATCTTTTTTCTTCTGAAGACCAAACTCAACTACCTCCCGGAAAGTGTAGCCTGCGTTATAGTTGGTAAGATAAAATTATGTGTTTATGCTTTTGAATATATTTTGAAGAATATTGCAGCTTTATCTAGAAATTAAGACAAACATTTTAATGATTTAGCAGCTCTCCTTGTATTCCTGTATGCTTGGGGTCACTGTACTAATATTTAAGATTTGTCCAAATTCTTAAAAATTATTTAATGCTAACAAACCACTGAACACATGGGATTTGAACCCATGGCAAGCGAGTCCTAAAACTCCAGGCCAGTGTGTAGAAAAATGCTTGAAAATGTCAAGTACAGTAGAATCCCCGTATTCGCGGGGGATACGTTCCAAGGGCCTGCCGTGGATACCGAAACGTGGATAGTAGCAAACCCTATATATAAGTCCTATACATACCTATTATAAAATCTAATTGATAAATTATGCACAATAAGTGGAGAATTATCACTTTTTCACTGATGGGAAGCACTTCACAGCTTCTCTTAAGCTTTGAAGAACTGCCACCTTTTCTACTTTTGTGCTTTGGAGCCATTATTATACAAAATTAAGAGATATTTTAGGGCCACAGTAAACCATGGATAACTGAAACCACGGATGCCGAATCAGCAGATACGGGTTCTACTGTATATCACTTGTATGCCAAATCCATATCTCTCATCATTCTACTCTTTTCAAGAACGTGTAAGCTCATTGTTGTCAATCTGTGTTCTCAGGAAAGATTTCTGATTACAGGGGATTATTTTGTAATCCTTCTCATGTATTTTCCAGTGCAGAGATATATATCTATACTATAATATGGAGATCAGAAGTGTGCTGCATAATCTGAATGAGGCCTTACCAGTGATGTATAGAATTTTGTACATATATCCCTGGTACTTCGTAGGTAGTAGGTTGGTAGACAGCAACCACCCAGGGAGGTACTACCGTCCTGCCAAGTGAGTGTACAACGAAAACCTGTAATTGTTTTACATGATGGTAAGATTGCTGGTGTCTTTTGTCTGTCTCATAAACATGCAAGATTTCAGGTATGTCTTGTTACTTCTACTTGCACTTAGGTAACACTACACATACATGTACAAGCATATATATACACACCCCTAGATATTCTTCTATTTTCTTTCTAGTTCTTGTTTATTTCCTCTTATCTCCATGGGGAAGTGGAACAGAATTCTTCCTCCGTAAGCCATGTGTGTTGTAAGAGGCAACTAAAATGCCAGGAGCAAGGGGCTAGTAACCCCTTCTCCCATATAAATTACTAAATTTAAAAGAGAAACTTTCGTTTTTCTTTTTGGGCCACCCTGCCTTGGTGGGATATGGCCGGTGTGTTGAAAGAAAGAAAGATCCCTCGTACTTCTGTTGCGTACATTTCTTGATATTCTTACAAACATGATGATTATCAGCTGCTTGATCTAATTTAAGTCAACTAATGGAAGAAATGTTTTGGTGGGAGTCGTGGCTTGAGCTAAGTGGCAGGTATGTGTTTTGGCTCAACAATAAGGTGCTCATAGCAGCTGTGAGTTGCTTATTGGTTATTTTAAGTGTGCTTGAGTAATCTGGACTACATTGATTAGCTGTTTTGACCTAGCCAATCATAGAGCTTTGTGCCTTATATGAAGCAAGGACAAAAGTCCCACCATCATTTGTCTAGGAGCAGCCAGTCAGTAACCCAACAAGGACATCAGACAGCAGTCAAACAGTGCTGAAGGTACATAATTAGTGAAGGTATTGTCAGAAAATGTAGCCATAATACAGCAGTTTTGAGGATGACATGAAAAACTGCAATCAAAATATTGTCATGAGAAACTGCAGTAATAATTAGTTGCAGTGTTGTGAGCAACTTCAGCCATAATATGGTGATTAGTGACAGTGTCATTTGGAACCATGTAGTGAAATAGTGTCAGTTATAATCTGTGGCTTAGTGCAATCAGGATACCAACTAGAGAAAATGAACTGCCATTGTTCCTCCCAAGATTATAAGTGATTATTTTGATCAGTGCTGTTATCTTTGTTTTCTTAAGAAAGTTGCCATTGTATTTTTAACTGCTTGAGATTCCCCTCCCTCACTTGTGTAATAAGAACACACCCAAATCCCTAAGTGGTGGTTTACAACAGTATAAATTTAGTCAACTGGCTTTGTTACAGACACTTAGGTATTGTCTTGGCTTAAGATTATTTTTTTTTTAACACTGGTCGTTTCCCACTGAGGTAGGGTGATGCAAAAGAAAAAAAAAAAACTTTCATTATCACTATCTTCTTGCTAGAGGTGTGCTGATACTACAGTTTAGGTGCCCTTCAAACTTAAGATTTCTGTTTAATTATTTAGTTATAGATGCCTGGGTTATTTTCATTCTCTAGTATTAAGACCATACTTGTCCACACTGAACTGCATCTGCCACTTCGGACCACAGCAGTTATTTTTCTGAATCATTCTGAAGTGTCATTGTATTTATTTCAGGTGAGTAAATTAAAAAATAAAATGGGTGTAATTAAAAATTACATGGAAGTGTCATATGTAGTTGTCCATATCCAGCATATGTTTAGTCCAAGGATTGTCAGATGTTACTCATTGTACTGTATAAAAACCTCACACAAAAGTGTAATAATTCTGTAAATAATATAGCTTGATTTTTTTTTATTGTTAACAGGTGGTGTGATTGGTTTGGTCCTGAAGATTTTATACAGCCAACACATAGCAAACTGGCAGGTAAAAATATATTTTTCATTTTTTCTTTTTTATTTCTTCTATACTACAGTACTTTTTTTATTGGCTAGATATACTCTCAGGTATTTCATTTACCTCGTTTCATCTTGACACTTGCCAAAAACCAATTGCCCCCCAAAACTGCCAAGAAAATAAAGCCATACTTATTCCACCACCCTTTTCAAGAAAGGTGTTTACTGCTGGCAAGGGGCTGTTGATTTCAGGAGGTGAACTTCCCTTTTATAGATCAAACCAAAGCCTCTCATTCCCTATGCACTTTATGACCTCTGTGGAACCAACACTTTCCCTTATTATAATAATAATCATTCCTCTGCCATGTTATAACCAAGCTTGTCTACCTAGGAGAGAGGTAGAGGAAAAAGAGGGAGACAAGGAGTCAGTTATATTTCAAGTCTGTGTAAAATAAATGCGAGATATGCTGAGCTAGGAAACGCCAGTTTTGAAGAGTTATGTTTACTGTTCTAGAGTGCATGACAGTAAAAATATTCTTGTTTTTTGGGACAAGAAATTGCTATAGAATGTATGACTAAATATGAAGAAAGCTCAGTGAAAAATACGAAACAGTACCTGAGAGCCTTCATGTACAGTGGACCCCCGGTTTACGATATTTTCTCATTCCAGAAGTATGTTCAGGTGCCAGTACTGACCGAATTTGTTCCCATAAGGAATATTGTGAATTAGATTAGTCCATCTCAGACTCCCAAACATACACATACAAACGCGCTTACATAAATACACTTACATAATTGGTCGCATTGGGAGGTGATCGTAAGGCGGGGGTCCACTGTACTTGCATGAAAACTCTCAGGTATTCCTATTTATTTTTCAGTAGTAGTTTTCATATGTAATTTAGATTCTCAATTTTTTTTTTATAGGTAATGACTTCTCCTTTCTTGAGAATGCTCACGTGAAATCTTTATTACATGTTTAATACAGTACTTATGTTATTTAAATGGTTAGGTTTTATGGACCTATGAAACCTGTAATTCAAGTATTTTTATCCATTTCTGTGGGTCTTCATTGTATATATGAGACTTAGACCACTTACCTTGGAGCAGCTTGATAATGTTTTAAAAAAAGGTTCATGCTAGGGATGGGATGATACAAAAGTTTTTTGCCAATACCAATACTCAATTTTAGGTCGATGCCAATACCCACCAGTATCATTACCATTAAAATTAGCTGATACTCGCCAATACTGATACTTTGATTAATACTATTAGCTTCTCTCATCTCATTTATTTTAAATTCAGTTCTAAATTTAAGTTACGTGCACTGCATGCATGTTATTCCTTCTGTGATTCTTTCTGTGATAGCCCTATGTTATATTTTAATCCTACCATTTTTTTCAAATCACCTTTGTAAATTGCCAGTTATTTAAGCTCATAATTATCATACATAAATACAATTTTTACTCCTTTAGATAACATCCTAAAATTATGTAATCATTTATATTATAAATATCCAGTAGGTATGTGTGTGAGCATGTTAGATAGGAGTGGAAGCAAAAGGCTTGTGGGAATTGATGAGCTGTTGGAGTGTGAGCAAGGTAATAACGTTTTTTGACTCCACATATACCTCAATGCACCACTCACCTTTTTTTTGTGAAGGGATTCAGGTAAAAGTAGGTCTTAGACAGGGATGTGTAATGTCACCATGGTTGTTTAATATATTTATAGATGGGGTTGTAAAAGAAGTAAATGCTAGGGTGTTCGGGAGAGGGGTGGGATTAAATTATGGGGAATCAAATTCAAAATGGGAATTAACACAGTTACTTTTTGCTGATGATACTGTGCTTATGGGAGATTCTAAAGAAAAATTGCAAAGGTTAGTGGATGAGTTTGGGAATGTGTGTAAAGGTAGAAAGTTGAAAGTGAACATAGAAAAGAGTAAGGTGATGAGGGTATCAAATGATTTAGATAAAGAGAAATTGGATATCAAATTGGGGATGAGGAGTATGGAAGAAGTGAATGTTTTCAGATACTTGGGAGTTGACGTGTCGGCGGATGGATTTATGAAGGATGAGGTTAATCATAGAATTGATGAGGGAAAAAAGGCGAGTGGTGCATTGAGGTATATGTGGAGTCAAAAAACATTATCTATGGAGGCAAAGAAGGGAATGTATGAAAGTATAGTAGTACCAACACTCTTATATGGGTGTGAAGCTTGGGTGGTAAATGCAGCAGCGAGGAGACGGTTGGAGGCAGTGGAGATGTCCTGTCTAAGGGCAATGTGTCGTGTAAATATTATGCAGAAAATTCGGAGTGTGGAAATTAGGAAAAGGTGTGGAGTTAATAAAAGTATTAGTCAGAGGGCAGAAGAGGGTTGTTGAGGTGGTTTGGTCATTTAGAGAGAATGGATCAAAGTAAATGACATGGAAAGCATATAAATCTATAGGGAAGGAAGGCGAGGTAGGGTTGTCCTCGAAGGGTTGGAGAGAGGGGGTAAAGGAGGTTTTGTGGCAAGGGGCTTGGACTTCCAGCAAGCGTGCGTGAGCATGTTAGATAGGAGTGAATGGAGACGAATGGTACTTGGGACCTGACGATCTGTTGGAGTGTGAGCAGGGTAATATTTAGTGAAGGGATTCAGGGAAACCGGTTATTTTCATATAGTCGGACTTGAGTCCTGGAAATGGGAAGTACAATGCCTGCACTTTAAAGAGGGGTTTGGGATATTGGCAGTTTGGAGGGATATGTTGTGTATCTTTATACGTATATGCTTCTAAGCTGTTGTATTCTGAGCACCTCTGCAAAAACAGTGATTATGTGTGAGTGTGGTGAAAGTGTTGAATGATGATGATAGCATTTTCTTTTTGGGGATTTTCTTTCTTTTTTGGGTCACCCTGCCTCGGTGGGAGACGGCCGACTTGTTGAAAAAAAAAAAAAAATCAGGGAAACCAGTTAACCAGACTTGAGTCCTGGAGGTGGGAAGTACAGTGCCTGCTCTGAAGGAGGGGTGGAGATATTTGCAGTTTGGAGGGGCACCTGAATTTTAGTATTGGTGTGTTTCTGGAAAGACAGTGATTGTGAATGATGGTGGAAGTGTTTCCTCTTTTGGGTCACCTTACCTCAGTGGGAGACAGTCATTGTGTTAAAAAAGAAAAAAAAAGTATTCCACATTTTTTTTAAATTTTAAATGTATTGACATCAACCTCATACCACATGCAATTCTAATGATGTATCACCATTTTGTGTGATTCTGATTCACATCTGCATATAATTAAGGGCTTTTTTGAATTCTCATTTCTGTATTTGTAGAATTGTATTTAACTCAGATGTAATTTATCTTTAGAAGATAGTTTATTTAATAGTAGCACTGAAGAGAGTTAAACGTTATAAATTTTTTATTTGTGTCCCTGAATGAATATGATCTTTGGCTACCTCACCTTCCATGGAACTTATTAGTCATCTGTTAAAGGCAGCTAGGATGGGATGATACAAATTTTTTGCCAATCCAATACTCAATTTTAGGTCGATGCAATTAACACATGTATTGGTAAATGCTGTACATTGGCCACTCCTGATAGTTTGATTCCCCTATTAGCTTCTCTAATCTCATTATTTAATAATAGTTTAAAATTAATTTTACGAGTACCTGGCAATGTATTCTTGGTTTTTCTGGGTAATTAAATTTAAGTAGACAATATTTTCAAACACTTTTAGAGTGGTTATTTAGCTCAATTTTACATTAAGATAATTTGTAACTATTTAATAAATATGAAATTTTTATTATTATGGTATGTGAGGAGCATTTTAGATGGAGTGGAAGCAAAAGGTTTGGAATTGAGAGTGTTGGAGTGTTACTAATGCTGTAATAAGCTTTTTGACTCCAATATACCTCAGGTTAGGGACTGTTTAAAGATGGGAAATTCCGGTAAAGTAGGTCTTAGACGGGATGTGTAATGTCACCATGGTTTTTTAAAATATTTATAGAGGGGGTTGTAAAAGAAGAAATGCTAGGGTGTTCGGGAGAGGGGTGGGATTAAATTATGGGGAATCAAATTCAAAATGGGAATTAACACAGTTACTTTTTGTTGGATACTGTGCTTATGGGAGATTCTAAAGAAAATTGCAAAGGTTAGTGGATGATTTGGAATGTGTGTAAAGGTAGAAAGTTGAAAGTGAACATAGAAAAGAGTAAGGTGATGAGGGTATCAAATGATTTAGATAAAGAAAAATTGGATATCAAATTGGGGATGAGGAGTATGGAAGAAGTGAATGTTTTCAGATACTTGGGAGTTGACGTGTCGGCGGATGGATTTATGAAGGATGAGGTTAATCATAGAATTGATGAGGGAAAAAAGGTGAGTGGTGCTTGAGGTATATGTGGAGTCAAAAAACGTTATCTATGGAGGCAAAGAAGGGAATGTATGAAAGTATAGTAGTACCAACACTCTTATATGGATGTGAAGCTTGGGTGGTAAATGCAGCAGCGAGGAGACGGTTGGAGGCAGTGGAGATGTCCTGTCTAAGGGCAATGTGTCGTGTAAATATTATGCAGAAAATTCGGAGTGTGGAAATTAGGAAAAGGTGTGGAGTTAATAAAAGTATTAGTCAGAGGGCAGAAGAGGGGTTGTTGAGGTGGTTTGGTCATTTAGAGAGAATGGATCAAAGTAGAATGACATGGAAAGCATATAAATCTATAGGGGAAGGAAGAGGAGGTAGGGGTTGTCCTCGAAAGGGTTGGAAAGAGGGGGTAAAGGAGTTTTGTGGGAGAGGGCTTGGACTTCCAGCAAGCGTGCATGAGCGTGTTAGATAGGAGTGAATGGAGACGAATGATACTTGGGACCTGACGATCTGTTGGAGTGTGAGCAGGGTAATATTTAGTGAAGGGATTCAGGGAAACCGGTTATTTTCATATAGTCGGACTTGAGTCCTGGAAATGGGAAGTACAATGCCTGCACTTTAAAGGAGGGGTTTGGGATATTGGCAGTTTGGAGGGATATGTTGTGTATCTCTATACGTATATGCTTCTAAACTGTTGTATTCTGAGCACCTCTGCAAAAGCAGTGATAATGTGTGAGTGTGGTGAAAGTGTTGAATGATGATGAAAGTATTTTCTTTTTGGGGATTTTCTTTCTTTTTTGGGTCACCCTGCCTCGGTGGGAGACGGCCGACTTGTTGAAAAAAAAAAAAAAAAAAAAAAAAAAAAAAAAATTAATAATAATCAGAATTCTTCCTCCATAAGCCATGCATGTCATAAGAGGCGACTAATATGCAAGAAGCAAGGGGCTAGTAACCCCTTCTCCTGTATATGTTACTAAATGTAAAAGGAGAAACTTTTGTTTTTCTTTTTTGGGTCACCCTGCTTTGGTGGGATACGACCAGTTTGTTGAAAGAAGAAGAAAGAAGTAATAATAATAACACTTCTTCAAAACAGGTCTCCTAGCCCCCCTTCCAATTAAATAGTCACACCTAAGCTTCTCCAGTATTAAAAGTCTGGTCCATCCTGCCAGCCAGAATTTTAAAGTACAGTTCTGGCCTTTGAAGCATCAAAGATATTTTGGTTTATTTCAGTGCCATCATTAGTGGTATGTTCAATGTAGGCTGAATTTCTAGTGGAAGAAATTACTAGTACAGTGGACTCCCACTTTACGATATAATTTCATTCCAGAAGTATGTTCAGGTGCCGTTACCAAACGAATTTGTTCCCATAAGGAATATTGTGAATTAGATTAGTCCGTTTCAGACCCCCAAAAATACACGTACAAGAGCACTTACATAATTACACTTACATAATTGGTCGCATTGGAAGCTGATCGTAAGGTGGGGGTCCACTGTATCTACAATGAGTCGTGATTATGTTCTTGTTTAACCACAACAGCTTTTAGTATTTCAATAATCAAATCATTTTATAAATAAACTTTTTTATTTAGTTTTTCTTTACTAACCGTTTGTTCTTATACAACAGAAAGAGGAAACTTTCTCTCCCACTGTTTTCTTCCTGGTTATCCTCCCGCCCATTATATTCGAGTCAGGCTACAATCTTCACAAGGTTAGTAATTATAATTAATTCACTGCAATAAAACAGTTATTGTAATTTTCCAGTAAAAGTGATATTTGAGGTTATTGCAAATTTATTTTGGTGATGCTTGAACTATTTTAGCCAGGGATTTTATTAAGTTTAAGCCATGCTGTTTTTTTCCTTCTTCATTAAAATCAGTTTATACTTAACCTGTGTTTTGACTTTTCCAGGGCAATTTCTTTCAAAACATTGGCTCCATAGTGGTGTTTGCAGTGATGGGCACACTGATCTCTGCACTAATTGTTGGGGGAGGGGTTTATCTCCTTGGGCAGGTAAGTTTATACAAATATGAAATTCTGCAATTTAAACATTTTAGTACTGGTAGTATTATCTTGGAACCCACTAAATATGAATATGTATTGTAAATATTGGCTTTGTTTGTTTTTTTTTTTTTTTACATGCTGATTGTCTCCCATTGAAGCTGGGTGACTAAACAAAAAAAAGAGAGAAGGAAACTCATTTACCGTCATTGATTCATTTGCTGCTTTCCTAGAAGCAGACTGACATCACAGATTAGATAGCCTTCTCAATTGCAGTATCCTCACACCACCTGCAGAGTGCAGGCACTGTACTTCCCACCTCCTGAACCCAAGTTAGGTTTATCAGTTTTTTCCTGAATCCCTTTATAAATGTTTCTTTGCTCACATTCCAACATCATACAGTACTACTTATCTGGTATGGCGCATGTAACCTTTATTTTATTAATAAAATAAGAGAAGATAAGATAATTTTATTGCCCAAGATATATTAGCATTAGCTATGGATAGTAGGTTAATAATAATATCTTACAAGGAAAAGCCCATAGTTATGCAAAGCATTATGTGCAGTCTGTAGCTGAGACATATTATATCATCTAGGATGCTCTAAAATAGAAAATTACATAATATTATAATATAAATTTTAGTTAAAATTGAGCATTAAGTGAAATGTTATTTTTATATGTAATGGTAAAAAGAAACTTAAGTTCGTTAAGAAAGTTTAATTATTTTTAATTCTTCTGTCAATTTATTTCACATTTTTAGCAGTTATTTGTATAGTTTTTCAATAGGGGTTAAGGCAAACTAGGAATATCCAAGAGATACTAGTTTCAAATGTGATGCCTGTGAGCTCTCTTACAGTTTTCCGAATGCAGATGCTGAAACTGAAGACTATGTGTACAGCAATACATATTTTTTTTTTTTAACAAACTGGCCATATCCCACTAAGGCAGGGTGACCCAGAAAGAAAAACGAAAGTTTCTCTTTTTAAATTTAGTAATTTATATGGGAAAAGGGGTTACTAGCCCCTTGCTCCCGGCATTTTAGTTGCTTCTTACAACACGCATGGCTTATGGAGGAAGAATTCTGTTCCACTTCCCCATGGAGATAAGAGGAAATAAACAAGAACAAGAACTAGAAAGAAAATAGAAGAAAACCCAGAGGGGTGTGTGTATATATATGCTTGTATGTGTAGTGTGACCTAAGTGTAAGGAGAAGTAGCAAGACGTACTTGAAATCTTGCATGTTTATGAGAAAGAAAAAAGGACACCAGCAATCCTACCATCATGTAAAACAATTACAGGCTTTCGTTTTACACTCACTTGGCAGGACGGTAGTACCTCCCTGGGCGGTTGCTGTTTACCAACCTACTACCTAGAAGCAATACATATTATCCAAATTAATTTAATGAAGTTAATCTCAGTGCCAAATATTGGTGAAGCAAGCCAACTTATTGGAAATTGATCATTGCTTCTCAAATTCAGTAGCATGTGTATCAGAACTGATTTCATCAAGTCAGCAGTGAAACAGCAAAACGTATATGGACAAACCTGACCTGAATGATGGAAAAGTGTTATTTCAGCAAGAATGTTTCTATGAGAAACATATTTTTAATGACATGTGAACAAAAACTTAAAACTTTCCTCAGTGACATTGACCACATAGAAGGCAGAATATAGGGAAAGGAAAAAGTGAGGTTAAAAAGAGTGGTTAGGGAGTGTAAAAGGAGAGCCAATGAGAGAACTGGTGAGTATCTGCAAATTTGGCTGAGAATGAGAAAGTTGTGGAGAGAGAGTAATAAGTTAAGAAAGGAAGCAAATAGATTTGGCAGTTTAAAATGAGAGTGGACGGATACTAGATGAGAAGATGGAGGTAATGGAAAGATGGAGAGAATATCTTGGTGTTCAATTTTGATGATGAATGGGAGGCAGTGATTTCATGCACTGAGCAGAGAGAAATAACATGGCATAGGAGTAAGGAAAAGATAGAGGTGAATGTGAGAAAACTGCACGAGGCAGTGGGTAAAAATGAATGTGGATAAAGCAGATAAGAGAGATGAGATTAAGATTGATATGTTAAAATCAGGTGGAGATATAATTTTGGAGTGGCTGGAGTACTTGTTCAATGTATGCATGGTATGAAAGAAGGGAAGGTAGCTAAGAATTGGGAGAGAGCATGCATAGTTTCTCTGTTTAAAGGAAAAAGGGACAAGAGTGCATGCAAGAACTATAGGGAAATAAATCTGTTGAGTATATTGGGTAAAGTGCAAGTTAGAATTATAACTGAAAGAATTAAGGGTAAGACAGAAGGTAGAATTGCAGAGGAACAAGAATATAGGAAGGGTGGGAGATGTGTAGACTAATGGTTCACATTGAAGTACATATATAAGTGAATGGTATTGATATTAGGGTAACACTTGTTTGTTGCATTTACAAAATTAGAAACGAAATATGACAGGGTGGATAGGAAAACAATATGGCAGATATTGCAAATATATTAGATTGATAATAAGTTACTAAAATAAATAACGGGATTTTTGTCAGGAGAGTGAAGCACAGATTAGGGTATGTACAAGAGAAGGGGATAATTTTCCTGTAAAAGTAGACTGGGTTGTGTGATGTCACTGTGGTGTAACATACAGAACTTATAGATGATGATGCAAAAAAATTGAGTGCTAGAATGTTGGGAAGAGGTGTGGGATTAAAATATAGGGAATCTGCATTCTCTTCTTTGTGTCAGCCTATCTTGGCTGGAGACAACTGTTGAGTTAAAAAAAAAAAAATAATACAAAGTGGGAATTGTCACAGTTGCTCTTTGCTGATGACACTTCTTTTCGGAGAGTCTGAAGAGAAGTTGCAAAATTTAATGGATGAATTTGGGTAGATGTGTAATAGAAGGAAATGTAAAGTGAACATAGACAAAAACAAGGTGAAAAGAGTAACAAAATGTCAAGTCAGTGAAAGATTGGATATTAGATTGGATGGATGGAGTATGGAGGAGGGAATATATTCAGTTATTTGAAAGTGGATGTACCGGCAGACAGGTCTGTGAAAACAAGGTGAATCGTACAATTAGGGAGTGGGGGAAAAGGTAAGTGGAATGTTGGGGCATCTGTGGAGATAAAAAGTTTATCCATGTAAACCGAAAGAGGACTATCAAGCGAATAGTGGTACCAGTTTTTTTTTTAATGGGTGGAAGGCATGGGTTTTAAATGTTGCAGTGATGAGGAAGCTTTAAGCACTGGAAATATGTTTGAAAGCCATGTGTGGTGAATAATATTGAAAGAATTTGGAACATAGAAATTAGAAAACAATGTGTGGCTACAAATTATACCCCAGAATTTGTTTATATGGCTCCAGATTTGCTATTACGGTGTCCACAAGCCACTCTTGTTTCTTTACATCTTCCGTGAGCTCAGTCTCTCTCTCAATTATGTTTCAAAACTTTCCAAAGTTTCAGGTTGAGGTGGTTTGTGCACTTAGAGAGGATGGAGCACAATAGGATGGCCAAAAGGGTGTATAAATTCAAGTTGGAAGGATGGATAGGGGTCCTCTCAAAGAGGACTGGATGGGGGTGAAGGTTTTAAGTGGTAGGGGTTTGAGCATCTAGCAGGAATGCGAGAGCTTATTAGATTGAGGGGTGAATGGAGACAAGTTTGTTTTAAGAATTTGATGTGCTGTTGGACTTAGCAAAATAACATGAAATGTTTCAGGGAAACCGGTTAGCTGAACTTTGGTTTTGCAGGTGGAAAGTGAAATGCCTACACTCTCTAGGAGGGGTGGAGATGTTATGGTTTGGAGAGTTATTTGAATTATGATGCTTGTGCACTTCTGAAAAAACGAAAAAACAGTCTTTGAATGAATGTTGGTGAATGTTTCCTATTTTTTTTTTTTTTTGGTCACCCTACTTTGGTGGGAGATGGCTGTGATGAAAAAATCTTTTTAAATTTGCTTGTATCATTTACATCTGAACATATCTGTTACCTGTTGCTTATTGCTTTCTACTTAATAACACTATACAAAAGCTGAGCAGAGAAGAATATCATTGTTGTACTTTCAGGCTGATGTAGTATACCAACTGAGTTTTGTAGAGAGCTTTGCATTTGGCTCTCTTATATCTGCTGTGGATCCTGTGGCAACATTAGCTATCTTCCATGCCTTAAATGTGGACCAGGTGCTCTACATGCTGGTGTTTGGAGAAAGTATCCTCAATGATGCTGTCTCCATTGTTCTCACCAGGTGAATTATCTTCATCATCCATAAGGAAAATTAATAGCAGCTTTCCAGTAAGACAGTTTTCCAAAGGATAAAACACATTCATTGTCTGTCACTCATTACTGGCTTACTAAAGCAACACAGACATTATAGTTTATAACATCCCCACCACATTTTCAGAGAAGTGGTACTGTATCATCCTCTCTTGCTCTATTTTTTCTACTTGACCTAATTATCTGCACAAGTCCTTTTCCACCCTTTGAATTAACCACTTCTTTATTCTTTCAACACACCGACTGTATCCCACCGAGGCGGGGTGGCCCAAAAGGAAAAACTAAAGTTTCTCCTTTTACATTTAGTAATGTATACAGTAGAAGGGGTTACTAGCCCCTTGCTCCCGGCATTTTAGTCACTTCTTATGACACGCATGGCTTACGGAGGAAGAATTCTATTTCGCTTCCCCATGGAGATAAGAGGAAACAAACAAAAACTAGAAAGAAAATAGAAGAAAACCGAGAGGGGCGTGTATATACAGCCTCTCCTCACTTGGCGATATACTACTCATTTACCAACGCCTCGGACTTACGACGGCCTCTCTGACCAGTGTTCATTCCTAAATAATGTATATTAGAGCTGATTTCCTCTATTCTGTTTATTTCACTATACAGTATACTACTGTATAAACATTTAAAAATATACCAGAAATGTTATAAATAGTGCAAAGGTAACATTAAAACAATATCAAATTATTATTATTATTATAATCAAGGGGGAAGCGCTAAACCCGTAGGATTATACAGCGCCTGGGGGAGGGATGTGGAAGGCATTCAGGCTTAACTCGGGGAACTGGAGCACAGATCCAATTCCCTAAATCAAGAGCCCCTCACCAATATCAAAGATGGTTGACACAAATGCACTACCATTATAGTATGCTCCTCACTTAGCGACGAATTCATTTAACGACGTGGTCTCAGGAATGGAACTGTGTCGTTAAGTGAGGAAAGGCTGTACGTATATGCTTGTACATGCATGTGTAGTGTGACCTATAGGTAAGTAGAAGTAGCAAGATATACCTGAAATCTTGCATGCTTATGAGACAGAAAAAAGACACCAGCAATCCTACTATCACGTAAAACAATTATAGGCTTTCGTTTTACACTCACTTGGCAGGACGGTAGTACCTCCCTGGATGGTTGCTGTCTACCAACCTACTGCCTAAGAATTATCCACTTTCTTAATTTAATCATTTATTTTAAAGACTTTTACTCCTGTATCTTCCTTATCACCATCACTAGTAAGCATTATTACATGTATATAATTACAGCCTTTAGCAGATATACTGCTGTTCTAATACTTGTTGGACCAGGAACTGTCTGTTAGTGTTGTCAATCTGTGAAAATTATCCCTCTGGTTTTTTACCCTTCTGATTTGGAAGTTGGAAACAAATCTAGTTCAGTTCCCAACCTTCTATAACTTAGGTTATGCGTGTCCTCTTGTCTAGCTATGCAGGGATTCTCTATTATTATGTTATACACATATACCAATATATGTACTTCTTCCGTTATGAGCCATTGATACCATTGTACACTGATAAATCTTCCTTGGTACCTTATCCAGGGTTGGGAATATATTGGATTGGTGGTATGCAGGATAAGGGAAAGATGGATAACCTGGCATCTACATCCTAGCAGCACCCAGCCTATTGAGCTTTTGATATCTTATTTGATATACTCCAACTTAGGATGTTCTTCTTCACTTTTCCACCTGCAAGGTGATGTTGCATTTTTCCTAAGGCTGACTCCCTCAAATAGATTACTATTGACATTATTTCATCATACAGAAGCCCTTCCAGCTGTACCATTTCATCCTCAAGTCCAGGTTAAATAATTCTCTTCCACTCTTATTTGCATGCAGTGAATAAAATCTTTCTGCTAGACAGGACATTGACCTTGACCAGCCACTAGTTATGAATTTAGGACTTCATTCAGGGTCTGCAGCAAGAGATCCTTTGTTTACACACCCACACCGGACACCCTCGCAAGCAGTTCGGTTGATGATGAAAAAGAGATATATGCAGAAGAGACCTTTATTTGTAAACATTTCACTCAACACTGGGCTCTTTCACTAGTTGTCAGCATTGTGCTATTGCCTCCAAATTGAATTCTGAAATGCTTTGCTACCTGGTTATGCAGTTTACTGTTTCAGTGCTAAGGTACTGTACTTTGGTAGGATTCCCAGTGGTTCTTCAGAACCCAAACTCAGAATAAAAGAATTTTTGAAGTATGAAAGGCAGCTTTCTGCCTAGATTTTGATGAATTACAAGTGACTGCTACCTTCCTATGTTTTTTTCTTTGGTGAATGCCAGCCTTTAGTACCTGGTTATCAAAAATAGAACTAAATCCAAAGAAAATGGATGGTGGGAGAAATACTGATGTTCAAGTGGCAAGTAAGTACATAAAAATAGTAGGAAGAGACAGTTCTGGGATGTTGTAATTCTGAGTGGTTCATCAAACGTAATATAGAAATGCATTTTTCATACCTGCTTCAAAATTTTGTAATATATTTGACATATTCCCAGTGTATTTATACGTATATCTTTGTGCATATTGTATGTAATGAACAAAATTTTCATTACCATATATACTATACAGTATTAAATATCATGTAAGTGGGTGTTTTAGTAACATAGGTAAGAATCCAAAACTTGTCTTGCCAATAACAAGAGTAATAAAACGCTTATTTAGAAATTCAAAAAGCACTGTATCTCCACCACTGACCATAGGTGAACCCCACTTAATTTTTTCTGATGGGTGAGCCTAATTCATCTGGCCAATTTTAGAGAAAATGTGTTTTCACAAATTTTACATCATAAGAGTTGTACACAGAATAGAAGAGCGATAATTTTTTTTTCAATTTCAGTACCATCATTGAAATGGCCTCACCAACTATGGCAGCCATGGGATCTGGAGAAGCAGTGTTGTACACTGTGGAGGTTCTGTG